GTGGTGGGTGGGTGGTAGGGTAGGGTAGGGTAGGGTAGGGAGGAGGAGGTAGTGTGTGTGTGTGTGTGTGTGTGTGTGTGTGTGTGTGTGTGTGTGTGTGTGTGTGTGTGTGTGGTGACAGGGTAGTGTTGGTGGTGGTGGTGGTGGTGGTGGCCGGAAGAAAGGCTCTGTCACTGTCTGTGGAAAGGAAACGATGGAGAACAAGGTGGAGGGGAAGGGGAGGGGGGGGTGGGGAAGGGGGGAAGGGGGGAAGGGGGGGAGGGGGGGTAGGTAGGTAGGGAGGAAAGAGGTGTGGTGGGGGAGAAGGGAGGGCAGAGAGGGAGAGGGAGTATGTCTGTGTATATGCGGGTGGTGGTGGGAGAAGGTGGTAGGGAATGGCTGTGTGGCGTACCGTCCGTCCGACGTCAAGTGGTTGTTCTTGTTGCTCTGTGGTGGCTTGTCCGGCGTCACGTTCACACCGGTTTTCCCTCTTGGTAGATGGAGGGGCGGATGGAGGGGGGGGTGTGGGGATGGCGATCGAGGAGTGGTGGATGTCTCTGTGGGTGTGTATCTGTGGGTATGTGTGATGGCGATGATGATGGCAATGATGGTGGTGGTGGTGGTGGGCTGGGTCGGGAGGTCAGGCGTGATTCAGGGTCGCAGTCATGCGTGGTTGCGTGGATTGCGACATTCGGAACGGGCGGTTTTAGGGGGCGGTGTAAGGGGGGCGGTGCAAGGGGGCAGGACGGGTAGAGTGAGACCGGCGGATGGCAGTTGATGGCGGTTTGATGTCGGCATGCAGCAGCTGGCAAGTGATGGAAGCAGCAGCCAGTCGCCGACGTCAGCGAGACGGCAGTGAACGCCGACAGCAGGGCGGGAGCGTGGTGAGGGGGGTCACACTCGTCGTGTGTGACAAGGTCAAACAAGGAGCTCAAAGAGGAGGAAGAGGATACGCAGTATGGCCGAGAGTGTGCTGCTGAAGCTCAAAAGTGCCAATGGGGCTGCGGCGTTCTACTTGGTCGCCCGCACCTCATGGCGGGTGAGCCAGTTGAAGAACGTTCTCGAAGCGCATCATCCCTCGCATCCGCCAGCACTCTGTCAGAAGCTGGTCTTTGCCGGCGCCATCCTCAAAGACTCGAACACACTCGCACATGTCTTTGCAAAGCTTGCCGCTGCCGGATCATCGTATGATGCAGACGGTGTCACCATGCACTTGGTCTTTCCCGCGTCAAACGTCAACGCCGAGGCTCTGCCCAACTCGCCGCTCACCGCCCCGGCGCCGCGCCTACCTGGCGATGCCGACGGCGCTGTCTTGCCCAAGGTGACAGACAAAGATGCGCCTGCACTGCCGGATGCAGTAGCCCAGCAGGGCGAGGGCCAGGCGGAAGTCGGCGGCGAGGACGGGTTTACACTCCCGCGGGTCGAGGCGGTGTACAGTCCGCTCGGCTCGCCGACACTGGTACCGGTGGCGAGCCCAGAGGCAGCGATGGCCCAGTACTACGCCACCTACTACGCCGAATACTACCGCGCGTGGTACGAGGCCCAGCTGGCGGACGGGTGCCAGCAGCCGAACGACGTGGCGAGCCCGCTGGTGGACGCCGTGGCGGCAGGCAACGGCGGCGAGATGGAAGAAGCCGGCGAGGCTGCAGGAGGCGAAGCCGAGGCCGAGGCTGAGGCCGACGCCGCGGTTGGCGGTGGTGGTGCCGGCGGCTGGTTGCGTGCCGGAGTCGGTGCCGCCGCCTGGGCCGCTCCGATGCTGGTCAAATGCGGCGTCCTCCTCTCAATGCTCGCACCAGCAATCACAACCGACGAGCTGATGCTTGTGGGTGGGCTAGCGATCGCTGTGGTCATTGCCCAGATGCTCATCCGGTTCCACATCCAGCGCCGCAACGACGCATTCAACGAGCGGGTCCGCCTGCTCCGCGAGGCGCGCGAGGCTGCCGAGGCCGCGGCTGCCGCTGCAGCTGAGATCCAGGCGGCGCAGGCCGCCGACGATGCGGCTGCCGAGGCTACTGCGGCCCCCGCCGAAGCTGATGCCGCCGCTCAGGCAGCAGCGCGGCTGCAGCAGCTGCAGGCTGAACAGAATGCGCCGCCGGCGTCGATTGTCTCGCGGGTGTACCACGAGGCTGTGGGCCTCCTCGCGCCGTTCATCATGTCGCTCTTCCCGGCCTACCGCCCACCGGATCGGGTTCCTGACCATCTGCTCCAGCCCGCACAGCCACCAGCACCGCCAGCCGAACGTGATCCCGCTGTTCCTGTCCCACCAGCCCAGTAGTCGTGGCGCAGGTAAAAATCTCCGGCGCCGTCGATGCGGTGCAGGCTAGCCAGGTCGAGATCGAGATCGAGAGCGGAGCAGGGGAGCGGGGGTGGGGGAGAAAGGAGGGAGAGGGTAGGGGTTAGGGGTTGGAAGGGTTTACGGTGCAGCAGCGCAGCGGGCAGCTTGTGGCGGCAGTCGATGGCAGCGGTGGCCGCGGCGGGCGGAGGAGGCGGGAGCAGCGAGGGCGAGTGCGACGAGCGAAGCAGCAGCGACAGCGGCAGCGGCAGTAGCAGTAGCAGCAGCAGGGCGACTAGTGGCCGCCGTGGGCAGAGTCTGTGTGTGCCGAGCCGGCGTGGGCGTCCGAGGCAGCAGCAGCATGACCATGACCAGAGCCGTGGCCCGAGGAGGAGGAGGTCATGGAGGAGACGACAAAGTCACCGAGGCAGTAGACACCAAAGGCACCGAGGGCAATGCCAAAGCCAGGGAACATGCTCCGAATGTTGTTCGCCTTGGTAATGACAGGGTGGAGCCGCCAGAGTTCGGCCTGGGGGTTGAAGCGGGACATGACTGCGGGTAAGCGTCAGAGCGGTGTGATGGTCCCTTGCCCTCGCCTCAGTTGGCTGCTGAGTTGGCCGCCAAGTTGGGTGAGTCAGGCCGACGAGACGGCTGATGTGGCGATCGGATCGGGGTGTATGTGGTGCGTGTGTGTGTGTGTGGTGGGGGGGGGGGATGGGGTTGACGAGCGGTAGGGGGTTGATGGTGATGATGTTGGTTGGCTGTGGCTGGCTATGACGATGGGTGGACTGGGCATCGTGGCTGTGGCCTTGTCACCGGCCTTTGGAAGAAGGCGAGACAGCGACAGGCGACCGATCAACAGCACGGAGCGGCGGAGGCAGTGGCTGGGCCAGGGATAGAGTTGGATGGAGCACTTGTCTTTGAGCTCTGCGGGGAGACATGGAGTACCCGGAGCTGAAGAAGGGTGAGGTTGACCTCGGTGTACGTGGCGTGGCAGGGCGTGGGCGGACGAGAGGTTGGAAGGCGAGGTAGGGCGGTGGTGGGTGGCGGGGGGGGGAGGGGAGGGGGGCGAGACGGTGGCGGCAGCAGGTCGCTCTACGGCTTTTTTGGCAAGAGGAGGGCAGGTCGCGGAGCATGTTCCATGGAGGTCAAGTTGGTCAGGGTAGGCAGGAGAAGAAGCGCTGTGGCAGAAGGAGGGACTCATGGAGAGTGTGATGGGGATGTGCTGTTGTATGGACGGCTTGTGGAAGGACAGACCTCGATTATGGGCGTGGCGTTTGACGGCGGCGTGGTGATCGGCGCCGACTCGCGGACGACGACGGGCTCGTACATTGCCAACCGGGTGTCTGACAAGCTGACGCAGCTTGCGGACAACATCTACTGCTGCCGGTCCGGGTCTGCGGCTGACACGCAGGCTGTGGCCGAGTACGTCAAGTTCCATCTCGCCATGCATAAGGAGGAGATCGGCGGCGAGCCCAAGGTGTCGGTGGCGGCAAGGGTGGTCGGCTCGATGGTGTACAACAACAAGGACTCGCTCATGGCTGGCATCATCATTGCAGGCTGGGACGAGGTCGACGGCGGCTCGGTCCACATTGTGCCGCTCGGTGGCGGCGTCGTCAAGATGCCGTTTGCCATCGGTGGCTCGGGCTCGACTTACATCTACGGCTGGGTCGACGACAACTACAAGGAGGGCATGACCCGCGACGAGTGCATCGAGTTTGTCCGTAACGGCCTCGCCCTCGCCATGGCTCGCGACGGCTCCTCCGGTGGCCTCATCCGCATGGCTGTCATTGATAAGGACGGCGTCGAGCGCATGATGATCCCGGGCAACGAGCTCCCGCGCTTCTTTGACAAGTGAGGAGCGCATGCCGTGCGGCGGTGGACGCCGCGACGAGGACTGTGTGTAGAAGGATGAATGTAAAGAGTGAAGGTGCGAGACTATCCGAGTTTGAGTGTGTGGGCAAGAAGCGACGCAGCAGAACGCCAACTTGGCTGCGAGCCGAGTCTTTCAGCCGGAGCGCCGATTGCAGCCGTCGCTCTCTCGCCCCTTCCCCCCGCCCCCTCCCCGTCCCTCCGCGCCCCACCCCTATGGCCCTGCAGCAACACACGTAACTTGCAGCACCGTCCCCTCCCCCCCCCCCTTCCTTCTTCCCTCCCTCCCCGCCTTCCTTGTCCTCTCCCTCAGCAACTAGGCGAGGACCGGTGGTGCGTGTGTCTGCGCATGGCTGCGGTCTCCCGTCCGACAAGGTTGCCAGCCATGATGACCGACGCAGCCGGAGGCCACCGCCGGCCCCAGCAGCAGTCTCCAGCCAGTGCGGTTCCTGCTGCACGTGCCGCACACTCTGGTAGTCATGGAGAGTTGCGGGGCAAGTTGCTGGTGCCGTTCATGGTAGAGACGATCGTGATGGAGCCACGCGCGGCGGCAATGGCTGTGTCAGTAGCGACGGTGATGGAGCTGGGGCCAGCCATGAGACTGCATCAGCAGCAGGACCGTCATCATCATCATCACTGCCAGCGGCTACTGCTGGTGGCGGCGGTACTGTTGTTGCCGAGGTTGAGATGTCTAACCTCGCCAGGCATGGCGATGATGATCTTGGCTTTGAGGCAGACTCGGAGTTTGGGAGCGCGTACGACGAGTACGAGTATGACGAGTACAGCTGCAGCGAGTATGGCTACGAGTACGGGGATGGAGACGATGACCAGCTAGCAGAGGCTTACCCGCGCGCACTGCCGCTGGAGCTGGAGCACGCGCTCGTCGGTCTGATGGTGGACGTGCAGCAGGTGGCACGGTGCGCGTTTCGCGGCGTGGGCTCGCGGGCGCGGGCGGTCACCTGGGGCGTCCTCGCCGGGCTGTTGCCCAAGTGGCACGGCGACCGGCCGGCGGCGCTGGCGAACCATCACCTGGGCTACGTATATGCCGTAGAGGCTGCAGCTGTGCGCCTCGCGCCGTCGGTCATGGACCGCATCGACACTGATGTCGAGCGGACCCTGCCACGGGCGTGCGTCTTTAGCCGCCCACCACTCTCGATATCTCTTGCCCGCATGCTGCGGGTCTACGCTCACGCTCGAGCCGACGGCCAGTACGTGCAGGGCATCTCCGACCTCGCGGGTCTCATGCTGGTGCAGTACCTGGCGTCGGTTTCGCGGGCAACGTCAGGCCCACACGCAGACGCGCTTGCCGCCGCACAGCCTGTGCTCTGGTGGGCATCCATTGGCGAGCTGGCCGCCTCGGTCCCGCTCGAGTTCCTCATGGCCGTTGAGGCCGAGGCCTTTGCCTGCCTCGACTCGCTGCTCGCCGCCTCGGGCCTTCGTGGCCTGTACACGCCCACCCAGCCACGGGTTCTGGAGCTCCTCGACGCTGTCGACGTCCTCCTCGAAAACGAGCTCCCCGCCCTCGCTGCAGCTCTTGCGGCGCGTGGCATCTCTTCGCCGCTCTACGCCCACCGCTGGATCGCGTGCCTCTTTGCCCGCGAGCTTCCTGTCGGCGTCCTCGGTCCGATCTGGGACGCCCTCTTTGCTTACCGTGCGCTCGAAGCCAACCGTCTCGGAGCCTTTGTCGTTGCCCTCTGCATCGAGCTCCTCCGAATGTACGGCAAGCCTCTCCTTGCCCCTGACCTCACGTTTGAGGCCGCCATCCATCACCTGCAGCATCTCCCGCTCGACTCGTGGGGCCCTGCCGACGCCGTCCGCTTTACCGCCCGCGCCGCTGCCGCCGAGGCCATCCGCCACCGTGCCCACTTGCTCGTCGAAGCCGAAGCCGAAGCCGATCCCAGCCCCGACCCTTGAACCGCCTGCATAGCACCCGCGAGCCTCGGCCTGCATGGCAGCCCCTCCCCCCCCTCCCCCTGTTCACCTTCCCACCGCCCTTACCTCCCGATCACCGCCATTCAACCACTCGCCCCCATCTCTATTGCCCCGATATCGAGGTATGGCATGGCAGGCTCGTCCATCTGCGGCATTGTCCTTCATGAACAATTTCCCATCGCACGGCATTGAGCAGCCCAAACCAAGCCACTGACCCGCAACAAGAGGCGAGGGGAGCACAGTCCGAGCCCAGCCAGCACAAGTCAGGTCATTCCACACCTCACCCCACTCCGCTCTCTTGTACTCTCTTGCACACACGGTATCCTCACACCGGTCTTTGTGCGTAATCTTTGCTCTCGGACTCGGACTCGGACTCGGACTCGGACTCGGCCTCGCGACTCGCGACTCAGACTCTCGCTCGCGACTCAGACTCTCGCTCGCGCCTGCTCTCCTCACATATAGCTTCATCAACCACGAGAGTGTGCACCTCTTCCACCACCGTATACGTATTTCATTTCGCGCAGAGTAGACGGCTGCGCGGACGGATCGACGGACAACACGGATCGGCCGACGTCGAGAGCACAACTCAACACAGCACAACGCAACACAACCATCTGTCGACATCATGGAGTTCTTTGTCAAGTACTCGGCACTGCCGGTGGTAGTGGACCAAGACAAGGTCAACTTGCTGAAGGAGGCGGGTGCGCACAAGACCTCGCACTCGGGCGGACGAACGCTGCTGGATCATTGCGTGGGCGTGTACGGGCTGATGAAGCTGATCTCGTACTCCAAGTCCGCGGCGGTGGCCGGCCTCGTCCACTCGATCTACTCGACCGAAGCGTTTACCACGCAGAGCCTGCCGCTGGATGCACGGCCGCGGGTCCGTGAGGTGCTCGGCGAGCGGGCCGAGTTCCTGGCCTACGCCTTCTGCGCCATGGACCGCAGCGAGTTTGTGTTCTCCGAGGTAGTGCCCGGCGAGTACTCGTTCTTTGACCGGTTTGCAGACCGGGTGGTGAGCCTGGCTAAGGACGAGTACTACGATCTGGTCGACCTTGCCTTTGCCAACGAGCTCGAGCAGCTCCATCCGCGGCGACACGGCCACCTTGGCGACGGCGACGGATCGGCAGCGTTCCTTGCGGCGCTGCTGCCCAAGGTGTCCAAAGAGGCGATCATCTTCTACGACCGCGTCTTTCGCACAACACACCGCTGCCGCTCTCGTCGACTGCGGGCCGCGACGTACACGCGCTGTGGGCCGACGCGCCGCGGCCGCAGGTTGACGACTCGGCGAGCTGGCACTCGCGGTTCTCACCCATGTTCCTCTCGCGGGTCCCGCCGGCGCTTCTGGAGCACGAGAGCGCCAAGGGCCGCGAGACCAGCGCTGGGGCGAGCGACGTTGTTGACCAGAGAGCGCTCTTTGCGCAGCTGACCGATTCGACTATCGAGTTTTGCGAGAACGACTTTTGGGACATGTGGGTGCGGATCAAGAAGCCCGACGGGTCGCTCGCCCCACTGGCGCTCCCGCCGGACGCCGACTACGACATGCTTCAGCTCGCGCTGTGCGAGGTGGTGGGCGTCGACCCGTCCGAGCATGCCATCCTTGGCCTCACCGAGCGCGGCTCCGGGCCTGTGCTCTCGCTCGAGTTCCTCACATCGGACATGCTCTGGCTCCTTGTGCCGGAGCAGGTCTACGGTGTGGTGCTGGTGCCTGCGACGTCGCGGTCGCTGGTGGCGCACGGGCTCGATGGCGCTTGCGCGGTCCCGCACCCAGTCGAAAGCCTCCTCCCGGCCCACTTTTCGCTCGACGAGCTCCGGCGCGAGATGTTTGTACCGGGCTCTGCTGCGGTGGCTGCCTTTGCGGCGGCGGCGGCGCGCAACGGCTCGGTCTCACTCGCGCTGCCTACCGAGGCTGTGGCGTACATTCACGCGGCGATTGCGGCGGGCGACGCGTTCTTTGACCTCGAGCGGCCGGCCAAGGGCGCGACATCGGTCGAGTTTGATGAGGCCAAGTTTGCTGGCTACGCCTCGAACAGGTTCCGCGAGTGGATGCAGGTCCGCAACGTGTTTGATTCGAGCGCGGTGAACCAGGCGTATGGTGCGTTTCCCAGCTTCTCGCGGGCGCTGCTGCGACTGTGGGTGGTGCTGGAGGGCATTGCCCGCGACGTGGTGGCGCTCCTCTGCCTCGGCATCGGCATGCCGCCGGCACGGCTGCTGGACCTTTGCGACCGTCCGGGCATTCCGCCGGTCATGGCGGCGCTGTTCGAGGGTGAGGAGGCGGTGCCGGCGGCGCTGCTCTCGCGGTACGACGCCGAGGTTGCGGCCGGCGCGAGTGCGATGGAGCTGGAGAGCTCGTCGTCGGCGTGGCAGCGCGAGAGCGGGAAGAACTTCCCGGCTCCAACGTCATGCGGTTCTTCCGCTACCACACCGGCAAGACGCCTGAGGACCGCGAGAAGTTCAAGCGGTCGTACCCGTCGTCGCCGCATGCGGATCTCGGCCTGGTCACCGTCGCGCCGGTATCGCCGAACCCGGCGCTCGAGGTCCAGTCGCACCTCACCGAGGGCCTTTTTTGCGTCGAGGAGAAGCTCAAGCCCGTCGAGGACGTGACGGTCATGCTTGGCGAGAACCTCGGGTACTTGACCCGCGGCTTCTACCGCGCCCCGTTCCACCGGGTCATTCCCAACTACGAGGAGACCAGATACTCGATGCCGTTCTTTCTCCGCGGGCACCCTGCGGCGGTGTGCGATCCGGCGGCAGTGTGTGAGGGCGTCGATGCCCTGCCCGCCGCGCCAATCGCTGACAACGTCGAGCCGCGCCGCCCGTATCAGGTGCACGAGGTCATGGACCTGGTTGTCCAGTCGCGCCCGCTGGGCGTGCCCGAGTACACCGACTATTGAGACTATTGAGGCAAAGCAAAAAGAGCATGGGGGAGAAATGTTTAGCGAGTCTAGGCATCGACGTCGGCATCAGCGGTAGCGTCGGCCTCAGCGTCGGTCGCGAGGTGCTTGGTCGCCTCGAGCATGGCGTCGGCCTCGTCGGCCATGTCGGCGACGTCAACGGTGTGGATGTACGAGCGGACAAGTTTCCACGCCGGCGAGCAGATCTCGTAGTCGCGAGCGAGCATGATGAGGGCCTTGATCTGGAACTTGTCAGCCAGTGCGGCCTCGATGAGCGGCTTGACCTCCTCCAGCTGGCGGGCCTGGAGCTTCTCGACGTCCGCCTGGCGGGTGTCGAGGGCGACCTGGCGCTGGGCGGCGCGCTCCTCGCGGGCCGCCTTGGCCGCGGCCTGCGACTCGCGAATGCGGGCCCAGATCTCTGCAGCCTTCTTGGATCCCTCTGACGACCCGATGATGTCGCCGTCAAGTGACTCCTCCTCGTTGTCGTCGTTGTCTCGCGGCTGCGGGTTGTTGTCGTCCGAGACGGCATCAGCATCGGCGTCGGTGTCAGCATCAGCATCGGCATCGGCGTCGGTGTCGTCGTTGGCATCGGCATCAGCATCAGCATCAACGTCTTCGTCGTCTTCTTTGACCACCTCATCGTCGTCTGCATCGTCGTCGTCGTCGTCATCGTCATCGTCATCGTCGTCCGCATCCTCATCATCGTCCTCATCAGCGTCCTCCTCGTCATCTTCGTCCTCGTCCTCCTCGTCGTCGTCGTCGTCCGCATCGTCCTCCTCCTCGTCCTCGTCATCATCATCATCATCGTCGTCGTCATCGTCCGCATCGTCGTCGTCATCGTCCGCATCGTCGTCGTCCTCCTCCTCCTCCTCGTCGTCGTCTTCGTCGTCATCCTCCTCTTCATCGCCCTCTTCCTGCTCCTCCTCCTCAAACCACATCTCCTCCTCGACCTGGAAGTCCAGACACTGATCAAGAGTCTCCAGCACAGAAACAGCCATGGTATTCACAACTGCGAGCCCATCTCCGACATCAGGCCGACAAGAACGATGGCCGGAGGCTTTGGATGAGTCGTATGCCGCCCGACACGAAAAAACCCCCACAGGCTGCACCCGGTGACTTGCCCGGTACGTATCAGCCTCTCAATGGCCATATAAGGCAAGTACACGAACGCACATAACATGACAAGACAGCACAGATTATGGGTGTTATAGTCATGTATATAGTGGGAAAGTGGAAGTAAAGAGCAAGGAAGACGAGGCGTACACGTGCTTGCGTTGCCCAGCAGCGACAGGTGCAGCTGCAGTTCGTCAGAAATCGCTGTGACTTTGCTTCATTTTCCTGTTGCTCGCGCCAAAGCCCAATTCGGTCCGATGAGCAGCCTGGTCCGGACCGGTTGCCGCAGAGATCGAGGACATGCTACCCATGATGCCGATGCAAGTGATGATAGCTGGGATAATTAGCAATATATATATATATATATGTGTGTGTGTATGTCTGTGGGGGGTGATGCGGTGGACGAGATAGACTCGGGACGGACTGGCCTAGCCAAGGCAACTGCAGTACTGCAGCCACTAGAGATCGTTCTCCAGAACAGCCACAATCCGTATCCGATTGGCCCTCTCCCTGATACCCACCGGCCATCAAGGACTCTCTGCCTGCCAAACGGATGCCGCGATGCCGCGCCAGGCGAGGCCCAACGAGCATTGTGGTCGCTGTTCTGCTGTCTTCCCATACTCAACTCTATCAATACCATGCTCAACCTCCGGCTTGCATCCACCGCCTCGCGGTACCTCCCGCAGGTATGTTAGAACATGCCCATATCGTGCATGGGGGCATAAGTAGTGGTAGTAGTGGGTGGTGGTGGTGGTGGTGGTGATGGTGGTATGGTGGTGTAGCGTAGCGTGTATGGTGTAGGCGTGGGTGCGTGTGGGCGGGCGCTGGCTGTGATCCCCCTTCGCACCCTCCCTCCCTCCCTCCCTCCCCCCTACCTACCCAGTAAGAGGGAAAGGAGACAAACATGGTGGGACAAAGTAGATGATGTTCCGAACAACCACATACAGAACATATGTCCGGAATACCATCCCCACCACATACCCTTAACCCTCCCCTCGGCCCTCCATTCCCCCCCCCCCCCCCCCCCCCCTTCCCCCCTGTCACTCCTGCTTTTTCTCCCTCTCGCTGGCAACCAACCCCCCTCCCCCCCCTGCCCCCCATCATCACCATGCTCACTCACATATGACCCATGATTTCTCTCTCGCTTTCTCTCTCTCTGTAGGTTGCGACTGCCGCCCTCTCAGTGTCGGCCCAGGCGTCGGCCCAGGCATCCAAGCTGCTCATCGACGGCGAGTGGAAGGAGTCTGCGGCGACGGAGCACATCGATGTGTTCAACCCGGCGACACAGGAGCTCGTGGCGCGTGTGCCCGAGACGACCAACGACGAGTTCGAGGCTGCGGTGGCGGCAGCCAAGGCGGCGTTCCCTGCGTGGAAGGCTACGTCGGTGGCCAACCGTGTCCGGGTCATGCTCAAGTACCAGGCGCTCATCCGTGAGCACCAGACGGAGATCGCCAAGCTCATTGTGGACGAGCAGGGTAAGACGCTTGTGGACGCCGAGGGCGACGTGTTCCGCGGCCTCGAGGCGGTCGAGTACTGCTGCACCATGGTCCCGCACCTGTTTGGCGAGTCGTCGCAGAGCGTGGCCACCAACCTCGATGTGGTCTCATGGCAGGAGCCGCTTGGCGTCTGCGCCGGCATCACGCCGTTCAACTTCCCGGCCATGATCCCGCTGTGGATGTTCCCGATGGCCATCACCGCCGGCAACACCTTTATCCTCAAGCCGTCGGAGAAGGACCCGACTGCGTCGCTGCGCCTGGTCGAGCTTGCCGAGGAGGCCGGCGTGCCCAAGGGCGTGCTCAACGTTGTTCACGGCTCGGTTGACACGGTCAACAACATCTGCGACCACCCCGACATTCGCGCCATCTCGTTCGTCGGCTCGGGTCCGGCCGGCAAGCACATCTTCACCCGCGGCTCGGCCAACGGCAAGCGTGTCCAGTCGAACCTCGACGCCAAGAACCACGGCGTCATCATGCCCGATGCCAACCGCGAGTCGGTCGTCAACGCGCTCGTCGGTTCCGGCTTTGGCGCCGCCGGCCAGCGCTGCATGGCCCTCTCCACCATCGTCACCGTCGGCGAGTCGGCCGAGTGGATCAACGACGTGGCCGAGAAGGCTGCCAAGCTCACCGTCTCGGGCGGCATGGAGCCCGATGCCGACGTCGGCCCGGTCATCTCCAAGCAGTCCCTTGAGCGCATCCACTCGATCATCGAGTCGGCCGAGAAGGAGGGCGCCACCATCCTCCTCGACGGCCGCAACGTCGACGTGCCCGCCAAGTACGCCGAGGGCAACTTTGTTGGGCCCACCATCATCACCAACGTCACCCCCGACATGACTTGCTACAAGGAGGAGATCTTCGGCCCGGTCGTCGTCGTCCTCTCTGTCGACACCCTCGACGAGGCCATCGACCTTGTCAACGGTAACGAGTTTGGCAACGGCACCGCCATCTTCACCGCCTCGGGCGCCGCCGCCCGCAAGTACGCCTCCGAGGTCGAGGTCACCCAGGTCGGCATCGGCAACCCGGGCGTGCCCATCCCGGTCCCGCCCGCAGCCTTCTCCTTCTCGGGCGGCAAGGCCTCCCACTGGTCCGGCGGCCGCCTCTTCCTCGGCAAGGAGGGCATTGGCTTCTTCACCCAGACCAAGACCGTCATGTCGTCGTGGAACTACGACCACGAGGCCGTCGAGGAGCTCCGCACCTCCATGCCCGTCCACCACAAGCAGTAGAGCGGCAAGCCGTTGTGTAAAACATCGTCTTTACCCCAAGACATCGCCGCGCTCTTCACCGCCGCCGCCCGATCGACGTCGCATGTACCTTGTGAGCGTCAAACGGCGCCTCCCACGGCTCGCTCCCGGTGAGCAGCATGGCGAGGACAAATGCGTGCCCAAGCTTGCGCTTGGTATTGTACAATATCCGCTCAAACGAGCCAAGAGCGGCGATCGAGTTGTGGCCGTCAAAGTCAAACAGTGCGAGCTTCTTGCCGCTCTTCACCGCCTTCTCATACACCGCCTTCAGCTTGCCCCAGCCCACCGTCGCCCGCACGGCATCGGCGTAGAGCGGCGCGTAGATCTCCAGCCTCGCCTCGACATACCCCAGCCTCCGACCCTTCCACAGCGCATACAGCGGCTTGGCGCCGCGGCCCATCGGGAACCGCACCGCCTTGGGGTTGGCAAACCCAGCCTCGGCCCACACAAAGTACGCATCAGTCGGCTCATTATCGTCGTCGGCGTGGACCGCGTACACCTTGGTGTACTGCCACGCATTCTCGAATCGCGCCGCCTGATACACCCGGCCGCCGCCCAGATCCACCGTCACTGGGCCGAGGAAAAACGGCGAGAGTTCGTGTGTCCACTTCTCCTTGCTCCGCGACGTCACATTGATCTGTGCTCAGGCCGAGCCAGTGCGACTCCGGCCAGCCCATGAGTCGCAGTGTCGAGCTTGCGCTCTCTCCGCCCTCTGCCGCCCGCCGAGCCCCCCCCCCCCCCCCCCCCCCCGACCTCCTCACCTTACCTTGACTGTATCATCGGATACCGAATCGCCACGGCCATACACCACAATGCTCGCCGCAGCAACAGTGTCCGGATCTGGTGTCGCAGCCATGTCAGCCGGCGTACGGGTGGAGTGGTGGCGCTATTGCAGAGCGTTGCTCAACAGGCGGCGGCTTTCCTTTCCATTTGGATTCCAGTCCGGCACGATGCCGAGTCGCACTCTTTGGCCGAGCACAGAGACATGGACCCTTTTGTGCGATGCTGTTGTGGCGATACTTGCGTCCATTAGCCTCTTCCACCGACCTGGCCCCTCTGCGATCACGTTAGGGACCAGCTCATCAAGCTCGGTCTTTGCAGCGGGCCACCCTCAGGTCTGCCTGCCACTACACTGGGCAAACACCCCTTAAAACCGCATCAGCATCCACGTCCACTCCCATCCATTCTCCTTCTGCCCCCCCCCCCTACTACGTCTCCGTGCTGCACTCTGCTAGCGAGACGCCCATCGTCAAGTGAGGGCAGATCTGACGCTTCTAGCTCGGCATGAGGCGCTGTTTCGTTTTGTTTTTCTCTCCAGCAGCAAATAGCACAGCATTTTGCTGCCGTCACACACACCACCACGCCCCTCTCCCCCCCTCCCTCCCTCCCCCCCTCCCGCGCGCGCCCGCTGGTACTCTGGAGCGCCTCTCACACGCAAAAACTGCTACTCGCCATCTGTGAGGCTTCTCTGTCTTGTGTTGCGGGCTACGTACCCTCAACAGGACCAGAACGGGGATTTCTGCAAGTCCCCATTGCCGTGGCTTCCGGCGTAGACTGGGTCTCACTCTTTCGCGGACGATGAAGTTCTCAGCGCCGCCGATCCCGCACTGGGCGGTTGACAACTTCCGATCGCCGTTTGCGGCGGCGGCAAGCTTTTGCCAGATCTTGTCGTTTGTGGTCGTGGTCATCGCTCCTGGGCTCCCTGCTGGTCTCGTCGTTGTGGCCACGCTGGTATGGCTGGCGACGCCACTCGGCGTCCTCGCCGCCATCGAAGGCGCAGACAAGATGCACAAGTTCGGGATTGGGCTTGCGGTGAGCCAGATGGTCATTGTGGTAGCTATCCTGACGATGGTTATTGCTCCCGATGAGCAGCACTTGCCAGCAGACGATGACGGCGACGGCGACGCAGTCTTCGTGGTGGCGTGTTCTGCTTCCAGCTTTACGCTTGCAGTGGTGGAGCTTGTCGGCTTGCTCATGGCACGCAATGAGCGGATTAGCCGGGCGCTGGGCTACACCGCTCAGCGACTGCGGTCACCAGTGCCGGGCGAGTCAACCGCGCGGCCGCTGGACTGGTTCCGGTTCCCGGTCCCGGTCCTCACCGCTGGCATGCTGATCTGGCTGGCATCGGTCATAGTTGCTGCTGTTGCCTTTATCATTGTCTCGATGATGCTTGACCTAGCAGTCTCTCTGCGAGGAGCCCCAGCTCTCACCGACATCATGAACAATGCCATCAACTTGCTGCAGTTCTACCAGGTTGTCGTGCCTCCTTTCATCGTGCTTTGCGGTACTGCAGGCGCGCTTGGCTTTGGGAGGCAGTTCCGCACCGACGTAACAGCTCTGATGGCAACAGGCATCAAGCCAACGGGTCTTACCGACAATGCGTTGCTCAAGGGTAAGGTCTCCCCAATTCTCGTACCGTCGCTCCTGGGCCGTGCGCTTGCCAATGCCTTCTTCTCACTGATGGTGCTTCTTTTCATCATTTTCTTTGTCTTCACACCGCTCGTTGTGCTCTTTGTCGTCTACGATCCCTTTTTCCAGTTTGTCATCAAGTTGGGCTTCTCATCGCTCGGCTCGCTACTGGGCAAGAAGGTGTGGCGCTGGCTTCTACTCACCTTTGTGTATGGCCGGGGCGATCCGTTGGAGATCTTACATCCGCGGCGGCACGCCATCGTCAATGGCATCGATATCATCGTCACGTTTGTGTTTGACGCCGGTGTAGCGTTCTTCACCGTTGTCCTTGCCATCGTCGCCAACGTGATCTTTGCCTTCCGGCCGGATAAGTCACTGTTTCCACGCGGATGGGAGCTGTCGGACCCGTCGTATCGGTCTTATCTGGCATGCGTTGCCATGTCGGCCGCGTACACCAACCCGATCGCTACAGCCGCGGTGGAGATATTGCGCAAGCCGAGCCACAGGCTCACACGCGCGCGCAAGAGGTGGGAGCTTGCCATCACGCTCTCGCGCAACCCATCGCTCATCGCACATCGCCGAAAGTGGCATCGACTCGTCGCCCCGCCCGTCGCTCTGCCTGAGTCGGTGCTCGACGGCAGCTCGAGCTCGTCGACCGACGGCAGCCTCAGTGCTATCGAGCTCTTTGAGCCGGTCTCGGCCCGGCGGGCCAGTAGCGACAACAGCTCCAGCAGCGGGTACAGTCAGATCAGCAAGGTATCCAACGGTGGCGAAGGCACCGACCCGCTCATCTTCTTCGAGTCGCAGTAAGACTACCCCAGCTTTGGTAGCAGGGAGCCATAGCCTGGCGAGTCGCGTGCCGGCGGATGGTCCTCGGCCCGCGACAAGTAGATCCAGCCCAAGCACCCACACACTCTGATCGGCAGCCGATCAGAGAGCTGCGAAACAACCGTCGCTTAAAGTGAGCACCTCGTGACTCAAGCAGCCACACACTCGGGGATCTGAGTCCGGCACTTTTATCGGAAGGCTGACCGGAGCTGCGACCACATGCTCCGCAGCGAAGCGAGCCGGCGTTTGACCGTAGGCATCTATTGGCAGGGCACTCGTCTCGGCCCATATCCGGACGAGAGGAACAATGCTCGACACGCTGCCGAACGAGCTGATTCTGTACATCGCGCTGGAGACGCATGTGCTCTCTCAGGGCGATGTGCTCTCACTAGCATGCGCCTGCCGCCGGTTCTCTGTCCTCTTCACCTCGTCCGAGTATGTGCGGCTTCGCTGGGCGGCTTTGGGAGGTGTGGCCCTAAATGCCGCGGCCGGGCGCTGGCGTAGTGCGCGGCTGGCGCTGGCAGCGGGCAACTTTGATCATCGTCGCGTCATCAACTTGCCGTTCAACATTGGCTCCACAGTGGTTGATGATCGGTGGTCGGCGCTATGTGCATTGGCCGATGTCGGGGCGCTTGCGGAAGAGACCGGCGCCCGTGAGCTGGCCACATCGCTGTTGGCTGACGACGGCATCGATGCCGGGGCCGATGCCAATACTGTGCTGCGGCGGGCGGCGGCAGCAGGCAATGTCGAGCTCATGCGGCTGCTGCTGACGCGGAGCGATGTTGATCCGTCCGACCACAACAACGACGCCATCCTGTGCGCGGTGTATTCTGGATCCGAGCCGGCCACGCGCGAGCTGCTCGCGCATCCGGAAGTCGATCCCGGGACTCGGAACAACGCGGCACTGGTCGCGGCGGCAAGTGACAACTTATGCGGCATTGTGCGCTTGCTCCTCGCGTCGCCTTTGGTCGATCCGGGCACCCAGAGCAATGCTGCGCTCGTCGAGGCCGCGACAGCCGGCCACGACGACGTCGTCGCTGCGCTCATCGCTGACGCCCGCGTCAATCTCGCCCTCCGCGGCAATTTGGCGTTCCTCAAAGCATGCACTCGCGGGCGGCTCGGCGTCGCCAAACTCCTCATTGCTCATCCGGCCATATCTCCACAGGCGCATGAAAACGCCGCACTCCGCAACGCGGCGGCAGGCGGGCACACTGCTGTCGTTGCGCTTCTCCTCGCCGATCCGCGGGTCGATCCCACCGCCCGGCGGACGGAAGCACTCCGGCGCGCGTCCCAGCGGCGTCATCGCGACATTGTCGATCTTCTCCTTGCGCACCCCGCCGTCGATCCCGAGCACTTGTGAACCGGGTTTGCGCCCGACGGTTGCGGCGGCCAGGCTGAGGCGCAGGCATCGGTGACTGCTGTCGAGGCCGATCGACCGAGCCGAAAGTAACACACACATGCACACACACACACACACACACACACACACACACACACCATGCCGACAGCAACCAACAGCCGCGATCAACTACGCAGGCGAGCCATCCACATCGATCCATCCGATCCGTCCGATCCGCCAGCCGGGCCAGCCAAAGTCGGCCTGCCCAACCCGCCCAACCCGCCCAGCTTGCCCCGGCCGACCGGCCGACCAACCCAGACCCGCGTCAGTTACCAGCCGCACGACAACGAGAACAACCACCTCACCTCCCCCCCCCCCCCCCCCCCTCCCCCTCCATCCCAGGAATGAGCAAAGGCGGCGAGCATGCGCATGTGCTCATAGGGCTCATTTCGCTCCGTGGGCTGGGTGCCAAGACTAACGCAGTGGTCAAGGCCTCGCTTGTCACACACCGCGCAAACGGCGGTGGTGTTGGTGGTGGTGGTGGTGGTGGTGGCGGCTCTGACGACGGCGGGAGCCGAGACGACAGGCAGAGTCAAGGGGGAAGCAACAGAGGTGGACGAGGGAGCGATGATGATGACATAGGGCGTGCCGATGGAAGGAATAGTGGTGCGGATGGTGATGGAGAGGTCGAGGTTGATGGTGCCAAGACAGCGCCGGTGCTGGAGATGGTTCATGTCCTCCCGCCACCGCCAGCGACTCGTGATGCAGCTGGGGCACCGGTCCTGCATGCGTACTATCGGGTTTGTCTGAGAGAGGATGGCGAGGCGCTGGATGACTCTGGCCTGCTTCAGATCGAGGTGTATGATCATCGGGTACTCGGTGCGGACGTTCTCGTCGGTATGGCCGCCCTGCAGCTGCCGTTACGGAAGCTGAGCGAGACCGGCGAGTGTATCCTCACTTGGCTTCCGCTCTCACAGTCGGAGCCGTCGCCGGTGAAGCGGTGCAACTCGACAGCGTCGGCGCAGGAGATCACTGCGCACGCGGTCATGGACGCGTCGACAAACTCACAGGGCGTGATGTCGCTGGAGGATCTGGCGGTGCGGGTCATGGTCGTGTATGAAATCAACGAGACATATGCGGTCAAGGCAGCGCGGTCAGTGTATGCGCCGCCGATTGATTGCCGAGTTGAAGTGGCAGAAGCCCGCGGGTGGACGCCGCTCTTTGAGCCTGGCACCCGGATGACGGTCGAGACGGCGCTGGTGGCGGTCGACGACGAGCCAGCGTCCAACCCGGCCAACTACTTGCAAGAGAACCCGCCCGAGCTGGTGGGCCAGTATGCGTCGCTGTTTGCCACCTCGCGGCATGTGGTGCTCATCTCGTCACCAACGGGCCGGATCACGCCGAGCGTGGTTGCCATTCTCGCGTCGGAGCAGGCCGGGCACCGTGGCCGACCGCTCCTAGTCTACTGGACGGTGGTCTTCACCAAGGCTTCGATTCGGTACCTTGCGCTTCCGACGCCGCCGGACGAGGCGATGACGGTGCCGCAGCTCCTTGCGCGGCTCTCGCCAGACTGGGCAACACCTGACGCCACCAAATCGTTCCGTATGCGCGAGATCGATCCCAAAGTGCCCGCCGATGCGGCGCTTGTTGCCGAGCTCGTGCGGCTCGAGACGCCCGAGGCCGAGCCCAAGCTCAAGCTCGGGGCGTTGCTGGTGACTGCCGGGCAGACCGTGGAGAACGACATGTACTCGAACCGGGAGACCACGTCACTGTTCGACGAGTTTCTCGGGCTTATGGCACAGAAGGTCCGGCTCAAGGGCTTTGGGGGGTACTCGGCACAGCTCGACACCGAGCACGATGGCTCTGGCGAGTACTCGTACCACGTGGCCAACTTTGAGGGTGTGGAGATTATGTTCCACGTTTCGACCGAGTTGCAGTACGACGAGACCGACGAGCAGCGGATCCAGCGGAAGCGGTTCATCGGCAACGATATTGTGGTGGTTGTCTTTGTCGAAGACGAGCACACGCTGTTCTCGGGCAGTGCGCTCACTTCCGAGTACACCAACGTGCTGCTTGTGGTCTCGCCGATAACGTACCAGGGCGCGGCGTACTACCGGGTGGCAGTTGCTCGCAACAAGGGCGTGCCAGCGTTTGGCCCACCGGCGGCGGCACTCTATCCACGCAACGCCGGCTTTGCCGCCTTCCTCCTCACCAAGGCCATCAACGCGTCGACGGCGGCATGCGCGTCACCCGAGTTTCTGGTCCGCGAACGGCGGACGCGCGCGACGTACTTGGAGCTCTTCCACAGCAAGGCCAGCAGCGAGGCACACGACGTGCCGCGAGGCGTGTGGCAGCCGGTCAAGGCGCGGATCGCGCCGTACGCACCGGGCGCGGGATTTCCCTCTCCGTCAGCGGCGCGCGGAAGCGGCGTTGCCTTTGTCCCCGTCCTCGCCGACTTTCCGGGCCACATCGACACCTTTGACTCTGTGGGCCCGTTTGTTTTCTTTGGCACTGCTGACGGGGTCTTTCTCCACCAGACCGGCACTGAGCCGCGCAAGGTTGTCTCGCTCCGCAACGTTGTCCAGCTCGGTGTCGATAGCGTGCTCGGCGTGCTGTACCTGCGGACAGCGCCGCCGCAAGACAACATGTTTGCCATCACGATGCGCGAGCTGTTCCGCGGCGGCGACCCGACGGTGGTCATGCTCACACCACAGCGACCGACTTACTTTACCTGGGGCGTGGTGGACTCGCGCAATGTGGTTGCGGTGGTGGTCGGCCGCGGCGAGGGGGTTGTTGTCTTTGACGCCTCGACCATCGCCTTTGAGCCACTTGCACGCATCCGCATGCCCTCGACCATCTGCTCGATCTGCCTCACCGAGCGCGGATTGTTTGTGGCGACGTCTGGTGAGCGTGCGGTGCTTGCGGGTGCACCGGCGTTTGAAGAGTTTGCCGGTGCTGGGCCCAGCGTTGCAGCAGCTGGGGTGCCGGCCGGTGGTGAGGCGCACGACAGCTCTGCGGCGCTGCTCGAGTTTGTCGCGCTGAGCGAGCGGCTTGAGACTGAGCGGCGCGAGCGGCGGGTCAGCGCCTTATCGTCGTCGCGCTCGTTCTTTCGTCGCAAGTCGTCGCGGGGCGTGGCAGACCCGTTGGACTCGGCGCTCGCCGGGGCCCGAGCCGGCCTCTGCCTCTCGGGCGACGACAGTGCTGTGAGCGAGAACGCCGGAGTGACGTTCTCTGGTAGCACTGCGGCACACGGCGCGCCGGGCTTTTACTTTGTGGAGCTGTTTGGACGAGCAGGACCCAAGACAGTCGAGCTGACGCGGTCGACGTCGTTTGAGACGATGGCGATTGCTACGCTGCGGCTCTCGACGGGCATGCTGGTGGCGTACCCAACGTACGGGGTGCTCCTCAACGAAGCCGGGCTTGTGGATCGGTCGTTCTCTAACATTTGGTGGACGTCTGTGCCGCGGGCGTTCCTCCCGATGGGTGCGTTCTTTGTGGTCTGCTACGAGTTGTACCTCGAGGTGTACTCGGGCCTCGCTGGAGCGCTTGTGGAGCGTGTGGCGCGTGTGGTGGACGCTCCCAACGAGTGCGGGCTCCGCGGCACGTTTGTGACCTCGTGGGACTCTGTCCGCAACGTGACAAGTGTCGACGCCATTGTGCTCACGCCGGACAAATCCGAGGGGGCCGACGAGTGGATGCCGTTTGCGGATGCGCCGCTGATGGCGCTCCGATCGACGCTATTGAGCAAGCCACCGTCGCTCCGGGGCATGCTTTCGATGGTCGACGAGGCGTCGACTGCGCCGCCGTCGGAGGCGGGCGAGACGGACGAGTCCATTGACCTCTCGCGAGTAGAGTCGGCGCGGATCAACGCAACGCTGTCCGAGGCGGTGGACCGGGCCCGCGAGGCCGCCATGTCGCGAGCGGCACGGAAGAAGCTGCACCGGCTGCGGTCGCGGGCATCGGCGCTCAAGCGGTTCCGGCGGCGGCGGCGCAAGGCGCGAGAAGCCAATGTGGTCCACGCCCTCGCCGACGTCGGCGCCGAGGCCACGTACGTGCCACCGGCACCGCAGATTGGCGTCAACACCTGTCACTACTGTGTCTCGGACATGGGCATCGCGGCTGCGTCGCAGGTTGCCTTTGTCGACATCCGGGCCATCTTCGACGCCCAGGCCACGACCGGCGACCCTGCGTCGTTCTACGCCGACCGGCTCCTCGCCCAGCTCGGCAGCGCCTCGCCCGCCATCCGCTCGCACCTCGAGTCCTCAAGCTCGGCAGCTGCTGTGCTCCGTGCCGCCCAGCGGAGCCGGGCCCGGGCTGCGCCCCACAATCGGCAAGACCGCGAGCTCGACGCCGCCATCATGATCGTCGAGCAGGAACTGCTCGAGCTCGACCGCATCCTCCACTTTGTAGGTCACTCGAACCTCTTTCCTCCCGACGTTGGGCCAGCCATGGTCAACATCGACGCCTTGGATTGCTACGGTGGCGGAACAGACGATGAGTACTCGAATTGGTCCCAATATTGAAGAACAGCCATGATGATCGCTCTCCACCTCACCACCCGCTGCCCTGCTACCGGTCGGTGCCCCCGCCGCCGCCCGCCGCCGCCTGCCATTCGGCCGATCCTTCCGCAAAGCGACGTCAGCCACCGAATGCGGCACCGTTCCCCGCACGACCTCATCCACCACTCCACCCATAGCCATGGCAAGCACACCACGAACAGCACCCTCCGCTATGGTCGCTGCGGTAGCGGTGGTAGCAGTGGTAGTCGCCATGCTCGTCGTCGTCCCCTCTCCCGCCACGGCTGCCCCTGCTCCTGCTCCTGCTCCTACTGCCGCCGCTGTTGCTGCTGCTGCCCCTGCTGCTGCCGCCACTGCTGCTGCTGCTGCTGCTGCCGTCGGTGGCACTACTCCCGCTGCAGCTCCAACCAACGATGTCATTCGTCAGATGGCGCGCCGGTCAGTTGGCAACATGCCAGAGGCGAGCGACAGAGTGGAGATGGTTGATGCGGCGGCGGAGGCTGGAAAGGAGGCGATAATCGACGGCGCAGTGGCGATCGAGGGCGAGGTTGGGCTGGAGGGCAAGGCTGGGCTCGGTGCTGGGGCTCGGACACAGGTCAAGGTCAAGGGCGAGATCGAGGCTGAAGACGAGTCTGGTATGGCGCTTGTGGAGACAGGCACAGGTTTGGCAGCGATCGGGAGCGAAGAGGGTAGGCCGGTTGCGGCTCGCGCGACTGTTCCGTCGTGCTCGGCGGCATACGATGACGATGCGAGGTGGGTCAAGTGCTTCAATGGCGGAAATGCCAGCTGTGTGGTCGATGATGTGTCGGGGACGGAGACAGTGCCGCGGTGTGGGTGCGCGGAAGGATGGGAGGGCGTGCAGTGCTCGCAGTGCGTCTCGTCCGACGCGTGCACCACTCCGGGCACGACGTGCACGGCAGCGTTCAAATGGACGGACATGCCGCCGCAGTTTGCTGTGGGCGACGGAATCGGGAGCAGCCAGCAAGTCTCCCGTGGCTACGCGCTCGATTGCGTGCTCACTGATGCGTTTTCGGTCGAGCAGCTCGGCGGCGGGGCAGTGGCGTACGTGTGTAACGCCGAGACCCGCTCATGTGATCTGGATGTGTTTGAGACGTCTGCTGGCGTGCCACACATCTTCCACTGCGAGTTTACTGGCTGTTCGCAGTCGTCGTCCCAGCGAAAGACGGTGACGCAGTGCGCTCGGACTTTGTGCTCGTGCTCAGGCACTGATTGCTCCGACTCGCTCACTGCTCTTCTCCGCAACATGCAGTCCAGTTCGTTTGTCGATTGTGACCGCGGCACCGGTGAGTGCTTCATCTCACAGAACGAGCTTCCGCTGTTTATCCGGGCCACGTGCGGGGCCCAGACGTGCACGCGCCCGCAGATTGCGCCCGACGACGTCAATCCCGGACTAGTGGTGGGCCTTACTGTAGCGGCGCTGGTCTTGACCGCGGCGGCGCTGGTTGGCGTTGTCTATCTGCGGTGCGCCGCTTTCCGCAAATCGACTGCCCGCAAGTCGGCGCTGCCAATGGCGGTCAGCCGGGCGCTGGCAGTTGTGGGTGGGAGCCAAGACGACGGGCGGCGCAAGGCTGTTCTTGCAGCGTCTTCGATTGGCTACTCACTGTTTGGCATCCGCATTCTCAAGGCGGTCTCGGCCGTCTTTGCGCCGGGCAAGGTTCATGCGCTGATGGGTGCGTCAGGCGCTGGCAAGACGACGCTGCTGGACATTCTTGCGGCGCGCAAGAGCGAGGGTGTGCTCTCGGGCGTTGTCGCGTATGCAGGCAAGCCTGTGGTCGGCCTGGGCGGCTCGTACATGGCCATTTCTGGCTATGTGCTCCAGCAGGACGCGCTGCCGGCGCACCTCACTGTCCGCGAGGCGCTCATCGAGGCAGCGCTGCTTAAGCTTCCACCTGGAACGCCGTTGACTGACGTAGTTGACAAGGTCGATGCGCTTGTCGAGCTTCTGGGCTTGCTTGCTGTCGAAGACTCGCTCATTGGAACACTCGACGGCGACGGGGCCCGTGGGCTCTCGGGCGGACAGTTGCGGCGTGTCTCGATTGGAACGCAGCTGGTTACCTCACCGGCCGTTCTGCTTCTCGACGAGCCGACGTCTGGACTGGACGCCGGCGCGGCGCTCTCGCTTATGACCATGCTCTCCAAGCTGGCGGCGGCGACTGGGACGACCATGGTCTGCTCGCTGCATCAGCCACGGTCTGCGATCTTTCAGCTGGTCGACTCTGTGCTGCTGCTGGTGGAGGGCGCGCGGGCATTCCACGGACCGCCTGCCGCACTTCCGCAGGCGCTGGAAGCTGCAGGTTTCCCCGTTCCGCCTGGGTTCAACGCCGCCGACTTTGCGCTGGACGTTGTGACTGCGCATGCCCAGCCGGAACCGGTGGCGGTCAGCTCCCGTCTTGCACTGCTGGGCTCGACTGACTCACTCATCGACGCGTTGCAGGCGGTCGACGTGCACGAGGCCGAGATCGGTGGCCTCCCCGATGTGGCCGAGGCGACCGCACCTGCATCTGCCGAGGCGTCCGAGGCGGCCGCAGCGCGCGCGGCCGAGCGCAAGACACAGGCGGCGTCGGCAGCACGGCTGGCGGCGGCGCAGGCAGCTCGGATTGCGGCTGTCCAGGCTGGCGGCGCAGTAGTCGAGACAACGCAGCAGACTGCGATCGGGGAGTCGCTCGACGAAGAGCAGGAGGAGACTGGCGACGACGGGCTCTACTCGTACTCGTACTCGTACTCGGAAGTTGGCGGCGGCGCGGAGGCACCGACCCACGCGCCACGTCGACCGGCGGCGGCGTCGGGTCCGCGAGTTGCACCGGCGGCGATCGCGAATGCAGACGAGGATGAGGCACAGCCGGGCGCGGTGGCGCGGGCGCGGGAGTGGCTGCACGCGTGTGCGCGGCAGACGTTTGTCCTCCTTCACCGCGGAGTGCTTGAGCTCGTGCGGCGGCCGCTGTTGCTGCGATCGCACATGGCTGCGGCCCTGGTGATTGGGCTCATCATCGGAGTGGTATACTTTGACGTGGAGGAGGACCTGTCAGGAGTGCAGGACAAGGCCGGCATCTTGTTCTTCTCTGTCTCGCTCTTCTCGTTTGGCTCACTCTCTGTCGTGGACGGATTCGGGGCCGGGCGTGCGCTGATGACCCGCGAGCGTGCGGGCGGGTGGTACGGATCGAGTGTGTGGCTGACGACACGGACAGTAGTCGATGCGCTGCCGCTGCGGGTGGTGCCGGCGTGCGTCTACGCGATTGTGGTTTACTTTATGGTTGGCCTGCGTCTGGAGAGCGCGGCGCAGTTCTTCAACTTTGTGGTTGTGCTCGCCGGCGTGGCGCTCGCTGGGGCGGCGCAGACAGCGGCAGTGAGCCTCTGGTCCTCGTCGTCGGGCCAGGCTTCGCTTATTGCGGTCCTCCTGCTTCTCGCGCAGATGTTGTTTGGCGGCTTCCTCATCAACACCGACGGCATGCTCCCGGCCATTGCGTGGCTCCGCTACTTTTCGTTCTTTGGCTACGCGTTTGAGGCGCTCATGGTCAACGAGCTCCGCGACCAGATGGTGGTCTTCAACCCCTCGGGCTTTACACCGATCCTTCTCAACGGCAACGTCATCCTCGACAACTATGCCCTCGATGAAGGCGCCATGGTCCGCGACATGGTTGTTCTCTACGTCCTCTGGGGCGGCCTGCTTGTGCTCGCCTGGCTCGGCCTCGTCCTCCGCGTCCGTGAGAAGCGGTAACAATCCTCGCCGCTGCACGCATCTACCAATCTGATTACAATCCCTCCCCCCTCCCCCTGCCCCCTTGCCGCCACCGGCTACCTGTCCGCCGCTCACTGCCGCCTTTCCGCCGACTGTCCGCTGGCGAGCGACGAACCGACAGCGGTCTCAACGACGACGCCCCCCCCCCCCCCCCCCCCTCCGTAGCCAGGTAGCTAGTACGCTCGTCCGTGTCCTCACAACCACCCTTTGGTGCATCCGGCTCTCTCCTCTGGTGGTCCTGCCCACTCCCTCTCCTCAGCCTCGAGGCGGTGGCAACCTGGCGAGCGCATCAGAAGCCAATCTGACCCGAACTGGCTGACTGTCGCTATTCTCGTGGGTGAGAGCCAAGAACGTCTGTGGTGACGAGCTGGTTGACGACCGATCTGACCCGAACTGGCTGACTGTCGCTATTCTCGTGGGTGAGAGCTAATAACGTCTGTGGTGACGAGCTGGTTGACGACCGATCTGACCCGCACCGACTGAGGTGCCCTCTCTCCTACATCTTGCAGAGTCGGCGGTGACCTCATCGGTGGCGATTGACTGGCTTACGAAAGACTTCCCTTGCGCATCTGGTGAGTTGCAGAGAGGCGACAGTCGAGCGAGTGACCATGGACGACTTTGACGAGCTTCCACTGGATGTGGATGAGCTCCATACCATCATCCGCCAGCTGCAACACACCTTGGTCTCGCAACCGATGCCACTCCCGCCAGCAGCTCATGTGGGGGCGGTGCTGCTGTATCGTCTCGTGTTGCGTCTATGCATGCATCGATGGGTGCATCAACTGCTGGCGGCGCGAGCGGCGGCCGTGGCATGGCTCTCCCTCGCAAGGCTGCAGTTGCTGCTTTTTCAGTCGATGCGGCTGCTACGTTCTGGGACACGCTGCCTGCAGAGGTGATGGAGGAGGCCATGGAGATTGTCCACACGGTGGTAAGACACGCCGCTGCGCCACAGCGTCCGCTGGTTGTCGAGCTCGGGGACGACGGCGGGCGGGTGGTATTCTCGGCACCGCTGGAGGCGGTGGCGTTTGCGCTCAAACTGCAAGTTGATTTGCTGTCTGCGCCGTGGCCCGAGGAGCTGCTGGAGCTCCCGAGCGCGGCGCTGGAGCGGTCGCTCACAGGAAGCGTCATTTTCTGCGGACCTAGACTCGCTATGGGTCTCCACTGGGGCGGGTTGAGCGGGCGAGACGCGTCGCTTGTCCGTGCGTTGGCCGAGAGCGCATGGGGCGGACAGGTGCTGGCCACCGAGTCGCTGTGGCATAAGGTCGACGCCAAGCTGTACTCACTGGAGACCAAGACGTCTGCCATTGGGCTGGGGCCGACCTCGCTGACGGGGTGGCCGTCGCCGGTCCCAGTCTTTGCCATCACTTCGGAAGCGCTTGTCGACCGGCGGTTTGGCGCCATCGCCAATCTTTCAGGTCTTCCCGTGGGAACGCGTGCTGAGGCGACGGTGCATGCAGGTATGGCATCGACACCGTCGCTGGCGACTAGTACAGAGGAGATCGGTCTCTCTGCAGCGGGTGGGTCGGTGGCGACCAGAGGACCGGGCAAGACTCGAATCATGTCGGCGGCGCAGCAGGCGATTCTCCGGCAGATTGTCCTCCTTCTCGATCGAGTCCACCAACTGCTCTCGCAGACGGGCTTGATTTCGAGCAGCCTGGAAAAATCGATTTCGCGGACCAAGGCGCTGGCGCACACGCTCGACCGTCTCGGCTTTGACATCCAGTCGCGGAAGCAGGCAGCTGTGCTCCGCGAGACGCTCGGCCGGATCATGGTCATGGGCCGCGAGCAAGGGTTCATGCTCGAGCGGCTGGAGAAGTTTATCGAGACGTCGGAGGACTTTGAGTCGCGTGTGGCGACCGTCGAGTCGCAGTTCTCGCTCGAGGTGCGGATGCTGCTAGAGAATGAGGCGTTTGCCGAGCCGCGAGGCGTTGCCGACCGGCTGCTGCCGCCGCTGGGTGATGACGCCGAGGCGGGCATGCCCGAGCTCAGCGGGTGGGACGGTGACATTGCGCGGACACATGCCGAGATCCAGCTGCCGAAGATCCGGCTGGAGGATGTGCTCAAGAGCGATGCCGGTGGGTCTGGTGGCGAGAGCGAAGGCGGGGCGTCTGGTGGTGGGTCGAGTGCGCCACCGACGCCAGGCGTGCGAGGTACCGTGCCTGTGGGGGTGCTTCGCAAGCGTGTTGCGCAAGTCAACCAGGTCTACACCAAATACATCCGGAAGGCGCAGGAGAAGCAGCGGAACGACCGGGTGGCTATTCGCGCGCTGCGCAAGCGGGTCTCGGAGCTGAGCAAGGAGAACGAGCAACTTCAGTTCCGCCTGCAACACGGAATGACGGGCATGCCGCAGAAGCTGGCCTCGTCGCAGGGATCGCTCCTCGTCGGCACCGGGTTTGCGCACGAAGACTCGATTACACGGTCCCAGGTCGGGCGGGCGTTGGCGTCGCTCGACAACGTGCCGATCGACAAGGCGTTCCAGAAGCGGCTGACCAAGAAGATTGCGGCGCTGAGCAAGCGGGCGCAGCGGCGATGGTCCCGAGTCGGCCTCCGGCAGTTGGCGCAGTCGCGGCGTATTGGCAAGTACGGGCCGACCTCTCTCCGCAAGAAGCGCAATCTCGAATCGCCGGAGCCCGTGCCGGAGGGTGAGGACGAGGTCGAGAGCCAGCGGTCGCGGCCTCGGTCGTCGTCAGGTGAGCGATCGTTGTCGGGCGGGCGGCGGCGTGTGCCACGCCAACCGCAACCGTCGCCGCTCTCGCGCTATCCTGCGTCGGGAGGGCGGAGAGGGCGAGAGTCCAACGCGCGCGCGCTGTCGCAGCCATCGTCGAAGCATGGCAGGAGCCAAGGCAGGCACGGCGATGCTGCGCAATTCGAACCGTCGACGTCGTCGTCGTGTGGCTCGATGTCATCGTCACGGTCGTACTCGGACCCGACCGCCACCATGCGGTCGTTCACATCGACGTGTTCGTCGTCGTCGACGGGCTCGGGCACGTTCTCGAGCTCGGGCGGGCGTCAGAAAGGCGAGGTGGTGGAGAAGACGTGGTCCGACTCGGACACGTACTCGAGCTCCAGCTAAATGAACAGCAGGGCAGGTTGCAGTTTAGTGCGGCGAAGCCGGCGGGGTGTCGAGTGCCGACGGGGTGTGAAGGCCGGCGTCAGCGGCGGCGGCCGGGTGGTCGAGGAACGACTGCGGGGCCATGCCCGCGGCACCCGAGGGAGCACGGACAAGGGCCCAGCCGTCATCGTAGAACTCGTAGATGTCAACGAGGTCACCAACAGCGAGGGCGACCTCGTCGGGTGACGACGGGACAAAGGCCCACTTGGCGGCGACCTGGAGCGGGGCCAGGAACGAGGCCGGGAGCACGCCACACACGCCCTCGTTGCAGGCCATGATCCAGCCGTCCGAGTAGCGCTCGAGCACGGTGACAACGTCGCCAGGGGCAACCAGGAGCTCGTCGTCAGCGCGCGGCTTGAAGGCCTCGATCGCTTGCATGACGTTGGGCTCGCGCGGGAGAACAATGGCGTCCGACGCCGCCACGGTCGGGCAGTGTGCGTCGACCGGGAGGTCGAGGCAGAGCGGGACCTCGATTGCAGCGGCGAGACTGTTGCTCGGCTTGAGAGCGTTGTCGTTTCCGCGGCTGTGGGTGTCGTTGTCGTTGTCATTGTCGTCGTCGTCGTCGTCGTCATCTTCCTCGACGCCGTCGTTATCGTCAGCGGCAGCAGCCACTGGGCTCAACGGGTTAGACGCACGGACGCCATCCTTCGTGGCAGCACGAGACTGAACATGAGCAACTTTCCCCGACGCAGTCTCCGGGTCCGCCCGGGATGGGTTGGCCAGTGAGAGCGGCAGAGCATGGGCGACAGAGAGCGGGGCAGGCTCGGGCGGGTGAGCGGCGGATAGCGGCGATTTGAGCAAATTTGGATCAGTGACAGCCAAGGGGGATGGCGAGTACGGAACAGAGCCAATTGGCGAAGCGGGCCAGAGGACCACAAGCGAGTCGAGGAGCGAGCGAGCCAAACGAGACGCGAGGTTATGCTCCATGGAGGAGTCATCATGGTCATGCCCATTGACACCAATGGAGGCAGTAGGAGGGGGCTGGGTGGTGGGCTTGCCCTTGGCGGGCCTCGCCGCCTTGCCCGTCACCACCCGCACGTGCCGGCCGCCAGCAAAAATGCCATGCTGGCAAAGCTTCGCTGACGACGACGTGGTGGTGGCGGAGGACGACGGCATAGCCTTGGTGCGAGGCGAGGAGGAGGCCCAAGCCGCTACCGCTGCAAGCGAGATGCCCACAGCGGCAAGGAGATACACATCCATACCCTCAGTGAACATGGCTTCGCCAACAAAGGTGAGCCACGAGGGAGGGGGGGGAGGGAAGGGTGAAGGGGGGGAGCGTGGGCGGCTGTGGACCACGCGCGAGAGGAGAATGTCCGGCGTGACGGGCAAGAAAGAAACCAACCAATAATGAATGGCAAGGCGAGTCAATGAATGGAAATAGGAAAAAACAATGGACAACCGCTAAAAATCGATATTGGTCGGCTGATGGTTGGTGGGGCAGGTCACGTGGCGTCGGCATGGCACATGCGAAAATGTGGCGCAAGGTGGGGAGAGGGGGGGGGGGGGGGGGGTGTTGGACGGTGTGTTTGATGAGAGCAGTAGGCATCTAGGTAAAGATGGGGACGCCGAGGAAAGTAAAGTCGAGGTAGCGGTGGCCGACGTCGAGGGCATCAAGCTCAGCAACCTCGTGCGGCTGGAGCTGAAAGTCAAAGACGGCGAGGTTCTCCTTGATGCGATCGGGGTTGACCGACTTGGGGATGACGGTGGCACCCTTGTCGATGCCCCAGCGAATGAGGATCTGTGCAGCGGTCTTGTTGTGGGCGTCTGCAAGCTCAAGGACCTTGGGGTGCTCGAGGAGCTTTGTCTCGGGCCCGCCAGAGTACTTGCCCGGGTTGCCGAGCGGCGAGTAGTTTGTGACGTGGATGTGGTGGCGCTCGACAAAGTCGACGTGCAGCTTCTGGACGTTGTACGGGTGGCGCTCGATCTGGACGACAGCCGGCGGGATGCGGGCGACGGAGAGGAGCTCGTAGATGAGGGCGGTGGGGAAGTTGGAGACGCCGATGGCGCGGGTAAGGCCTGCGTCCTGCAGCGACTCCATGGCCTTCCACTTGGCGGCGAGCGGGATGTACTCGAGCTCGGCGACGTCAAACACGGTCTCGCCCTGGAAGGCCACCGGGTTGTGGATGAGGTAGAGGTCGAGGTAGTCCAGCTGGAGATCCTTGAGCGTCTGGTTGAGCGCCTCGGCGATAGAACCGTGCGACTGCGACCAGAGCTTGGAGGTAATGAACACGTCCTCGCGCTTGATGCCCGAGTCCTCATCGGCGAAGACCTCGGCAAGGGCCTCGCCCACCTCGGCCTCGTTGCCATACACCGCTGCGGCATCGATGTGGGTGTAGCCGGCGTACAGAGCCGTCTTTACCGCATCCTTGACCTCGCCGGGCTTGGAAAGCCAGGTCCCGAGGCCGTGTTGCGGCATCGTAGCGCCCGTGTTGAGCGGAACAGTGGTAATCGTGGGGCGGCTGGTCATGATGTTGTGAGTTGCCTTGTCTGGTGAAATGCTGGTGACGGGAGATGTGGAGGCGCTTTTGTTCCGAAATCGCCTGCATTCATGAATGGCAGTCGTCGAGATGACGCAAGCACGCGGCAAGACTGACGGCGCGTGACATGATTGGAGGGGCGGGTGTAGGATGGGGGCGGGAAAGGAGCGGGAAAGGGGCTGGCGCGGGGGAGGAGGGGGGGAGGGATGTGGGTGTGGGTGTGGGTGTGGATGGAGTGATGGAGGATGGTGGCAGAGGAGGAGGGGGGAGGGGGAGGTGGGGAGGGGGGGGGGGGGTGGGGCTGGTGCGGCGGCAGGTGCGGAGCAAGGTGACCAGGGAGGGGGAAGGGGAGGGGGGGTGGCGAAGAGGGGGGGGATAAATTTTTTTTTTCACGAGGCGGAGCGCACCCCCGTCGTTGAAGGAGAAATTGTGTGCTGCCCGAAGAGTGTGGGTGTGGGCGGGTGGCGAGTGTGCGAGGATCCCTCCCCGGGCGGGTGTGGGAGAGGTTGGCGGGAAAAGGGCAAGTGAGGTAGATAGAGGCACCTAACTCGCCAGGACGGAAAGGAGGGGTATCTGGAGGGGAGAGGTGAGAGAGCACAATGGCACAGATGACTTCCAGCTTGGTCTCTGTTGGGTATGTCTCATGGAACGTGGCGTCGTCGGTCGGCCTCATTCTCATCAACAAGTGGCTGCTCGACTTTATTCGACTTGAATGCATCCTGTTCCTTACGGGCATGCACCTCATTGCCTCGTGGATTGCGGTGTACGCGCTAATCAAGCTCGGGTATGAGAGCTACAAGCCGATGCCTGGACTGCAGATTGCGCGGGTGGTGGCCTCGTTCTTCTTCACCGTCGCCTTTTTCAATCTCTCGCTCAAGCTCAACTCGGTCGGCACGTATCAGCTCTCCAAGCTCCTGGTGACGCCTGTGACTGCGGCGATGCAGTATGTGTTCTTCCGCAAGAGCGTAGGCCTTGACACACAGGCTGCCCTTGGGGTCATCTGCGTGTGCGTGGCGTTTGTGACGACGGCGGATGTGACGGTGACCATGACCGGGGTGGGGTGCTCGTGCGTGGCCATTCTGGCTTCGGCGACGCATTCGCTGTGGTCAAAGTCCAAGCCGACCGAGCTCGGGCTCACGACGTACCAGCTCAACTTTCACATGTTCCCGTGGACGGCTATGTGCTTTATTGCGGCATCGATGCTTGTCGAGCGCGATCCTGTTGGGCAGATGCTGGGCCTGCTACAGGCGGACCTTGATCCCGAGGTGGCCGGCTCGTCGCGGGTGGCGTTTATGGTGCTCACGTGCTTGATGGCGGCGTCACTCAACATCTCGTCATCGCAGCTAATCTTCTACACCTCACCGCTCACGTATCACGTGGTCGGCCACTTTAAGCTTATCCTCATCCTCATTTTCGGCGTCCTCTTCCTCAACTCGCCGGTCTCGGGCACGCTCGCGACCGGCATGCTCGGCGCGGTCGGCGGCGTGGTGTGGTACACCTCGATCAAGTACCGCGAGCAGCAGGCGGCGGCCAAGGTTGTGCAAAGCGACAAGCGGCAGGGGGCGTGAGGTAAAGGGTTGTGCGGCCTTAGAGTTGCGAGAGGAGCGCGGCGCGGCGGGCGCGGGCGGCGGCGCGGGCCTTGCGGCGGGCGGCAAACTCGGCTAGGACGTCGTCGTCCTCCGGCGTGGGCTCGGGCGTGGGCTCGGACTCGGGCGCAGGTTTGGGATCGGGCGTGGGTTCGGAATCAGCCGATGCTTGGCGCAGTGCCTCGCGGTGGCGGCGGCGCTCCTCGCGGCGAGCGGCGAGTCGATCGGGTTGGGGTTCGGGTGAGGGTGAGGGCGAGGGCATGGGCTCGGGGTCGGGTGTGGGCGTGGGCTTGGGTCCGGGATCGGGCGAGGACGCCAGATCAGCCGACGCTTGGCGCAGTGCCTCGCGGCGGCGGCGGCGCTCCTCGCGGCGAGCGGCGAGTCGATCGGGTTGGGGTTTGGGTGAGGGTGTAGGCGTGGGCTTGGAATCAGGCGTGGGCTCGGACTCGGGCGCAGGTTCAGGATCGGGCGTGGGTTCGGGATCAGCCGACGCTTGGCGCAGTGCCTCGCGGCGGCGACGACGCTCCTCGCGGCGAGCAGCAAGTCGATCGGGTTGGGGTTCGGGTGAGGGTGAGGGCGAAGGCATGGGCTCGGGATCGGGTGTGGGCGTGGGCTTGGAATCAGGCGTGGGCTCGGACTCGGGCGCAGGTTCAGGATCGGGCGTGGGCTCGGGATCAGCCGACGCTTGGCGCAGTGCCTCGCGGCGGCGACGACGCTCCTCGCGGCGAGCAGCAAGTCGATCAGGTTGGGGTTCGGCCTCAGCCTCGGGTCTGGGCTCAGGCTGTTCACCCGACTCGACCTCGGCGTCCAGCGCAGCTCGCATAGCGCGGAGCTCGGCCCGACGCCGCAGTCGCGCTTCACGGCGCGCAGCAAGCTCGTTCAGAGAAGCATCAGCCACGTCCTTTGGTGCCGTGTCCGCGGCCGATGCAGCCCGCATCGTTGGCACTTTAGGCACGGGGCGGATTGCAGCCTGGACCGCCCGCGGCGGGCTCTCGGCTGAGTCAAACCACCCCGATGAGCACTCGCTTGAAGCCGTGTTGGGCTCGGCTTCGGCTGCCAGGTCGTCGAGCGCGTTGAGCGTATCTACGAGCTGCTGTCGCGCATTCGCATGCTCGTTTCGTTGCGCCTGTCGCGCGGCCCGTCGTGACGCCAGCTCGGACAGCTCGTCGTTGCTGCTCCGGCTGCCATCTCTCGGCTCTGGACTCGGTGAGGGCGCCACCGGCGACGACGCCACACCCACAGACGCCACGCCCACAAAGGCTGCGCCCGATCGCAATGGCCGCGCCATAGGCTCAGTCGGATGTGTGCTCAGCTCGGTGAAACTAAGTTCGGAGCGCTCGTCCGACACCGAGGACGCCCGCGAGGCTCGTGACGCCCGCGACTCGGACCGGCTCGGGCTCGGCGCCGTTGCCTCCACCGCCGGTGCTGCTGCTGCTGCTGCCGCTGCTCGCTTCGCCCGCCGTGCCCGTCGGACTTCGGTCGAGAGTGACATAAACTGCGAGTGCGCCTCACACTCGGCTTCTGTCGTCGTCGATGACGCCAGCGACTCGCGGCGCGCCCGGCGTTGCGCCTCGGCGCCCGACCCGTCGGTCGACCGGCCCATCTTCTCCTGCATCCGCTTTCGTCGTAGCTCACGCCGTAGCTCGACCGTCGACGGCGACGGAGAGAGGATCGGGCTCGAGCAACGCTGCGAACCGGTGTCTTCGCTAGCACCACCAGCTGATGCCTCGGATCGCTCGTCGGCCGGAGCACCTTGTCTGCTCGCCTGCATCCGCGCCCGTCGCGCCGCCAGCCGCGCCTGCCTCCTCCGCACTCGCTCGTCCTCCACCGACGAGTCGACCGGTCCGCTCAGTAGGTCCAGCGCCACGCCACACCTGTCGCCATCCTCGCGCGCCATGTCGGAACCGGACTCGGAGCCAGATCGCGAGCACGGGGCAAAGCTCCTCCGACGCCCGCCACCTGCTCCCGATCCATCCGAGACGTCCGAGTCAGAGTCGGACGCCGAGACTGCGCGTTGAATGGCGTTGTCGCCAAAGGCCACCCCGCGCCTGCGGCGGCCAGCGCCCGGTCCAATCTCAGGCTTCATCAGCGCCCAACCATCATCCTCGCCACGACAACTGTTGAAGGCCGGCGAGTCCAGGGCGGCAGCCGACTCTGATCGCCAGCGGGTGTGAGCAAAGCGCCTTGACGTGACGGTGGTGGACGCAAGCCACTGTGGGTGCGGCCGCGGATTCGATGCCGAGGACGAGCGGTAGCTGGCCTCGATGACGTTTGTGACGACACGAGTTTGGCAGACAGAGAGTGAGCATGCCTTGAGGACGCGAATGATGTCGATCACCACATCTGTGTCCGCAGCAGGACAACGACGAAGACGAGGAGGTGCACCAGCATCAGTAGCAGGACCGCCACCATCGTCATCATGACCACCACCGCCGCTACCATCGTCATCGCCACCGCCACCGCCGCCGCCATCGTCATCGCCACCGCCACCGCCAGCAGACGATCTGACAACCGGCAGCAGATCGAGCTGGATGGTCTCCGTGGCCTCCTCCAGCGGCGGGAAGTAGCCGGCCACAGGCGCAGCATACCTCCCGGCCACGGCCCAGAAGACCAGCGAGGCAGTACCTCCAGCAACAGCTACGTCCTCCTCACCATCTCCTCCGCCTCCTGGCCAGGCTACACTCACTGCCATCGTCTCGGACGAGTCGAGTGTGAAGGACGGAGGGGGAGGGGGGAGGGGGGGGGGGGGGGGGCGAGGGGAAGGGGAAAAGGTGACGGGCGGGGGGGCCTGCGCAAGCATCCTTGCCGGATGGAAATTAAGGGGAGATAATGGGGGGGAAGGGGGAAAAG